TGGTGCACATTTAATGGACAGTGGTTTATATGATGTGAGTGTTTTGAATTTCACTGAAATAAGTCAAGATCAAAATGCCATGCAAGCTAGCCAACACACGAAGGAAATTCAATCCATTCATGCAGAAAGTGCACAAGGTGACACGCACGTGTTACACACACCGGAAAGAGAAGGATATCAAGTGGAAAATCAAGCACAATCTCACATGCTTGAAGTCAATTCTGCTCAAGAAGGAGCAAGGTGTGTTCCCACAACCCGAGAAGAGCAAGACATTGATGGCACAACCTCAAAGGAAAAATTGGAAAATCTGGAGAAAATTGTACTAAGCCTTGTTGACCGAATGGAAAGCATGTTTCAAGGCATCTACACTCATGTAGATCATGTTGTCAATACTCAAGGTGGAAAATTCGAAGCATCTTTTGATGAAAATCGGAGGAGTCAACAACATTTGATCGACACCCACCAAGCACTTGAGAGACAAGTTGGAGGACTGAATACAAATGTCAAGGGGCAACTCAATGAGTTCTACATCCAACTCTCTCAAATCCTCAAGAATTCTGGAAAGGCAAATGAAGCAATTGCCGTGAGTCAAAGCCAAGGAATCCTCAATGTTGTTCATCAACATGAGAAGCAGATTAGTGATGTCCACACGGATCTCATCTCCGTCAACACCAAAGTGGGCTGCCTTCGGGGATCATATGAAAATATTTCCGAATCTATTTCATCTCTTCGTGAATCGGTTCATACACTCCTTGATTACGCCAAAAAGGGGGAAGAGAGATTCAGTCATTTGGAAGGCATGCTTGAGATGATGATGACTGCCATGGCCACCCGAAATGTTGGCACAAGCAGTAGTAGAGGTGGAGGAGGCAGATCTGCTGGCAGAAATGTTGCTAGAAGAGGAGGACTAGAATATTGGTTCGGTAGTGGTGAGGCTAGCAGTCCAGGAGGATCAAGCAGCGCAAATACCACTAACCGTTCTTTTCGTGACATTGTTTGTGCAGGTGGAAATATTGAGCAAATTAATTGGTATAACCGTGCAGCTCTCTATTTGGAATCCACACCAAGAGATGGTAGAGTTGAAATGCCAAAGTTGGTGACTTTGAATAATCTACCAAAGGGTATGAAGAAGAGTGGTCCAAGTGATCAAAATTTGTGGGTTTCAAACGAGAATTTCAGAAGAATCCAAAGCTATGCTAGAGCTTTGATGATCGTGGTTCTAAAGGACTATATCAAAGTCAATGATGCCGAGCTACAAAATGGAAGAAGCCTAGAAGAATGCATCATATGGTATGAAGAAGGTATACTGCCTGGGAACAACATCATCGAAGCATTCAACTATTATTCAGTTGGGCAGGTATGCAACAATTATGCCATTAGTGACAATTTCATTGATGTTCAAAAACATATAAATCATGTGCTTAAAGAGAAGAGAAAAAAAGTCATTAGATGATTTGTATGATTGTCACATTTGTTTTTGTATGGTCCACGAGAAACATGAACCCATGAACAATTTGGAACAAGTTGGAATGATTCGAATTATCTGTTTATGATGCTATTAAGTTTTCCTTGTTATTTATTATTATTTTGTTTGTCTTGAAAGGTAACATTTTTAGCTTAGATTGTATCAAATCGCATAAATTGGAAAAATGCAAAAATTCATTATTATTAAAATCCAAAAATGCGAATAGGAATTTCAGTTGCTAAAAATACCTTTCTTAGAGTCAAAATCAAATGTTAAACTCGTCTTGGCTATGTCTAAGTTAATAAAATCTTTTGAAAAATAATTGTTTTTAAAAGACAAGCCAAATGACTGAGTATAGGTTTTGGCGTCATCAAAAAGGGGGAAAATTGATAGGAATATTTTTGTAAGTTTTGATGAGCCAAATGTACTTTAGATCCCCTGTGTTTTTAGGTCTTTTAGTACAAGCATCATAAATCAGAATATCGAGTCAAAAGGAATCTACCATAGGAAGAACAAAATTAATTTGAGAAATTAATTTTGGTCCTACGAGTATTCATCCGAGAAAGAAGCATAAAGGAATGGCATTGCAAAGAATGATCGAATGAGCCTAACGGCGAAATGGTAGAAGTCTTTATTCAAAACGATTACACCTGAGATCGATTCCCCCCAAGGATTTATTTTTTACAAGTCAAATTTTCGGACAAGCACAATGCTACCCAAAGAGCACAATGCTACCAAAAGAGCACAATGTATTAAAAAGAGCACAATGTACTAAGGAGCACAATGCTACCAAAAGAGCACGATGCGGACAAGCATAATGTGTGCTAAAGAGCACAATGTGTGCTAAGGAGCATGATGTGTGCTGACAAGCACAATGTGTGCTAAAGAGCACAATGTGTGCTAAGGAGCACAATGTGTGCTAAGGAGCACAATGCTCAAAAGAAGCACAATGTATCAAAAGGAGCACGATGTGTCCAAAGAAGCACAATGTGACCAAATCAGAAAAGCACAATGTTCAAGTTAAGAAGCACGATGTTCAAGTCAAAGGAGCACAATGTGGCAAAGAAGCAAGATGATCAGAAATTGGATTAATTCGAAGGAATTTATTCCAAGTCTACCCACATGCCACAAGAATCCAAAATTGCCTGAAAGACATTTGATCAGAACGGTAAAATATTTATGAAGACATGAATATAAAAACTTATCCTAGAAATAAATTCTATCACATGAATTTATTTCAAAGATACGTTGGATATTCAATATGACAAGAAAAATAATATTTTAAGAAACAACTAGAAAATCAAGTTGTGATAAAATATTATTTGTCAGGCAAGTTGACAATCAAATCAAATTGAAGACCTACTATTGTCAACAATATCAGGCTATGAAGATTCAAAATTCAAATATCAAATTGTCCCACTCCAACGGATATATTTGATTGCCTATAAAAAGCCATGAAGACTTGAAGACAAACAGCGTGTGGAGCAGAGGTGAACAAGATAGACACAAGATAGAAGTGCAATACACACGAAAATTCAAAAAGTGCAAGTGCTCAAATATTCTTAGAGACTTAGTCTGAATAGTCTCAAATCTAGTTGGAGAGAGATACAATTACCTTTGTATTTGTAATTGTAAAAAGAGTATAGCTGTGTGCAAAATACTCTAGTGAGTGTAGCTGTGTGCAAAACACTCATAGTTGCTAAGTGTAGGTGTGTGCAAGACACTTAGTTGGCGTTGAGTATAGCTGTGTGCGAAATACTCGGAGTTGAGTGTAGCTGTGTGCGAGACACTCGGAGTTGGGTGTAGCTGTGTGCAAAACATCCGGAAGAAGTGCTTGTGTAGCGCTTATTCACTATTGTAACTGTGTGTGGAAAAATAGTGAATTTCTCCTAGACGCAAAAGGAGAAAAGTGGACTAGGAAGATTACGCCACTTCCGAACCACTATAAATTGCCTCTCTCATTTACATACCGCACTTACATAATTTGCTCTATCTATCTATCTTATCCGACTAACCCATTTACTATTCACAATCAATCTTAATCGTTCGGGTTTAGTGTGCTTTCACGTATGCATGTGACTCAAACTTCTCGAGCTTAAATAGTGATTTATTCTAAGCAAGTTTGACGTGTTGCATGTAACATTCGTCACACGTTCGACGTGATACGATATTTATTTACAAGAATATTGTTATTATATATTGAGTGAACCATCTTCTTTATATATTCAAGATACCTCTGTTACTTTATTCTATCTTACATGCGTATTTAATTCATTATTTGGGCATAACTCTTTACATACTACCTATTCCGCTGTGCAGTTTAAATTAACTCTATTTACTTGTTACTGAGAGTTGAAATTACCAAAGAGTTATTTATTTCGGAAAAAGCTTGAAAGTCTATTCACCCCCCCCCCCCCCCTCTAGACTTTCACCACCCTATCGGGACCAACACTATGTGTTTTTACTTGTTAATTAGTTATGCACCAATTTAGTTAATTAATTAAACTTGTTTATGCAAGTATAAATAATAACTGCAGAAAGCATAAAGTAAATTAAAAACACAAAGAAATTGTTACGCAGTTCGGAGCTCCTTCTCCTACGTCTGCGGGGCAACCCACGTCTGCCCAATCCACTATAGATGTTCACCAAAAGGAGTATTACAAGAGGTAAATGAAGACGGCCTCCAGCCTTTACCACTACCACTCTTTCTAACACCTATCCAGGACTGACACACGAATACCCGAACAATCTTCACAAGTTGCTTCAGCAGTACCACGTACTGATCATGTAGTACAATTTAAATACTCTTAAGAATTAAATCATAAATCACATTAAAACATAAAATAGCTTTGTAAATTCAGGATAGCTCTCGCAATGTGTAAGAATCAAATTGGCAATGTCTTCATTCGAGCAGTATGTTTTTATAGTGCTTCATGAGCCTTTTGTTTTGATCCTCAATTGTAGCCTCTTCCTTAGCCTTCCACTGTTCGAATAAGCCACAACCACTCATTTTTGTTCTTTGAATGCTTCACCATAGACTTAATTATACACTGCATGCTGGCCACTAATTTTATACTCACATGGTCCATAAAAGAATTAAGCTAACAACACTAATTTAATTTAAATCTAGTAAAACCAATAAAATAGCCAATAGTGTAAATTTATTTTACACTTACAATCTCCCCCTTTGGCATTTTATTTGGAAAACTTGAGTATCAAATACTTTGGGCAAGAATCAATTTAAATTTTATTTATAGCCCTTAGTATAGGTACTTAACATAACATAAAAAAATAACAAATTAAATTCTTTTGGACCATTTGTGAGTAGAGAACCTAATTGGAAATCTTCAATTCTTGAATCACACACATAAGCATTGAAAACATAGCATACCATATCAACGATTAACTTGTGCATGTGAGATACCATACCAAAAATATCCATACAGTTAGTTTGGAGCACCAAACACTACTATTACTCCCCCTAACTAATATAAGTCCATTATTACCATACTGACTAGCATTAACACTTCCAAAACTAACCAATACCAACAAACACTGCCAAATAAAACCGTACCATAGTCATCCAAAAAAAACAGTAGTCATCCAAAAAGTAGAAGATTTCATCCAAAAAGAACCGTAATACTCCCCCTTTTGCCAAATAAATGACAAAGGAAGGTGAACATCAAATAGTGGATTAGAGTTACCGTGCAGACGGGTGCCCGAGTCTGAATCATCTTCTTCATCTTCAGAGTCAGAATCCGAGGAAGCAGCTCCAGTGTCAGCTAAAACCCGAGCGTGAATAGCTTCCATGCGAGTGATTTCTTCGAGCTGTGCATCACGAAGCTTTGCAAGGCCAGAGATGGTGACTTGTTGAGAGGTGACTGACTGTTGAACTTGTGCAATAGAGGCCTCAAGAGTGAGCACAATCTGCCTACGAGCAACCAATGTTGGGGGCTCTTTGGGAACCAGTCTTGAGCCTGGACGAGAAGCTGACGCAGTGTCAGTAGATGAAGCTGGCGCAGAAACCAGTGGCGCTGGAGGTGGAATAGCAGGAAGCTGATCAAGTGAAGCTCGATCATCATAATGGCCCCGTTGTGTAAGTCAATCATAAAAAATGTAAGCATTGTCAGGAGTTGTAATCACTTCTTCCTTATAGGGCTTAAAACCATGATCCTGAAACACCCCATAAATCAAACACGGAAATGGGAGATGGACTTTGGTTTCTTTCTTCTGCAAAAAAGATATTACGTGAGAGAAAATAACCATGCCGAGGTTGAACGGAAGACGGTTCCTGATTTTGTATAGAAGGCCAGCTAGATGTTCTGGTACTTGGTGGCGACGGACTGCCGGGAACCAATTTGCCGATGCAAGGCGAAGAAGAACGGAGTAGACAGTTGTGAGCTTCAAGCTTGAAATTCCATCACTCGGCCATGAAACCACTTTATTATGAGTGAGTGCACTTGCCAACAAGTGAGGATTAGGATCCGGAGAAGCAGGATGATTTGGTGTGCCCAAATATGCATTAATCTCGGTAGGCCCGAAAGGATACCAAGTGCCACGAATGAAAACCTGATGAAATCGTGCTGAGCCTTCAGTGAATGTGTCCAAGGTCAAATTTGTGTAAAATTCTGCTGTCAACCATGTGGAGTAGGGACCAATATGGCGTAGAGAGGCAAGCAAATTTTGATCACGTAACAACGGGATAATATTGCACTTGGCAGCCAAATCCTCTTCATTGATGGATTTTTCGACGATGAAAACACGGTTGACATGAGTTTTCCAAACAGCAAATAAATCGGGAGACAGAAGATGCGGTTTGTAGACCTTGCTTGATCCTTTCGATTTGGAGCCAGATGGCGTAGGAACAACATGTGTGTCAACTTGGGCTCTTGACCGAGTGGTTCTGGGTGGCAATGTGGAACTCATCCGTTGAAGTTTACGGTCAGTTTGAGTTTCAACATCATCCAACTGTGACAATCCTCTCTTTTCTGCAATACCTGAAACAGAGATTTTCTCGTTTCCCTTTCGGGAAGATTTAGAAATAGGAACAGAGATAATGGGAACCGATTCTTGAGTAGATGAAACAGGAATGGGTACAGGATCAGAGTGACTTTTAAACGCAGCAATAGTAATGGGGATAGAAAAGGCCGAACAAGATACAGTTGGAACAGACACATGTTGGGCAACATTTCGAATGGAAAACGCAGATGGCAAAGAATTTACTAAGTCAGATAAAGCAACTAAATCAACATTTTCCCTAGGTAAATTGTGAGTCAAAGGATCATAAGGATCACCAGGTACAGGCAGAGTTTGAACATCAAAAACATCATGAGATATGGGAAACACAAATTGATCAGGCAAAGATACATCAAAATCAATTTTTCTAGATGTGTTTAAAGGTGAAGAGAGGGCAGGGAGTACCACTGTCTGAGATGAGGCAAGAGACGCTGGACCGGGAAGAGTGGAATCTGGGACAGCGGCTGACACAGGTGGAAACGGCTAAGGTGTGGCTGAGATATGGCGAGCTAGAGCAAGCATTTGCCTCTGTTCTTTGTCCGTGAGCCCTTCCAGTAGAAACCCATCTGATTTAATTGTTGCAAGAACCTTATCGGTAGCTTCAGGAGATAAGGGAGACTCGGCATCAATGATTTTTCGAAATAGGTTGGCTCTTTCGGATCGAGTTACGTAGGTGAGAAATGGATTTTCCATGGGTGTAGCTTGTAGAGAGCAACAATAGTGGAAGGTGAAGAGATGAATATGATGGTGGTGATCTCGGGTTAGAGAGGAAGACCAAGAGAGACAAAAAGTAATGGGTTGATTTGATGTCTAACTTGAAAAGGCGTGAGAGAGTTGATGGCTAGGATAGATATAATGATATACATAGGTTTGTAGATGAGTGGAAAAAGGAGAGATTGATGGTGTTTGACTAGAATTAGTCTTCTAGATGCAAGCATGAGACATCCGAAAAAAATGAAGAATAAAACACCCCAAGGAAAAATTAGTAATTCATAAATAGATAAGTAAGACCGGAAATATTAAATAATCCCAAACAAATTCATATCCCTTTGTCCCTGGTAACAGAAACCAATTAATCAGTTAGTTCAAAAAAAAATAAAAAAAATAAAAAAAAAAATACCTGCTGGAGAATTTAGACATTAATCGTACAAACTCCGAGAGCTGCACAAAGTAGTTCAAACCTGGATTTGTCTAATGGTTTCGTGAATAAATCTGCAAGATTTTTGTCAGTAGGAATGTATTCTAACTTAATTTCTTTTTCTTCAACTAGTTCACGGATGAAATGATGACGGATGTCTATGTGCTTCGTCCGGGAGTGTTGGACCGGATTTTTAGATATATTGATCGCAATCGTGTTGTCGCAGAAGAGGACCATATTTTTCTGATCAAACCCGTAATCGGACAGCATTTGACGCATCCAAAGCAGTTGTGTACAACAACTGCCTGCAGCTATGTACTCAACTTCTGCAGTGCTGAGCGATATTGAATTTTGTTTTTTACTCAGCCAGGCAACCAGATTTTTCCCAATAAAGAAACATCCTCCGGACGTGCTTTTGTGACTCTACACCCATACTATTATTCAGGGCCGGTTTTTAGATTTTTGTGGCCCTGTTCGGGTAAATAAATAAGGCCCTACCAAAATTAAAATCTATAAAACTAATACCGTAATTTTATTATCTAAATATATAACAAAAAAAAATTATCCGTGCATCGCACGCACACTGCACGGATAATTTGGCAATTATTTGCTCGAATTCAAGCAATGATAACATAAAAAAAAACATAATCGATAAAACTCATTTCATCAATTGCACTATATAATATTCATTGTTTTAATTTAAAGATTATAACAAATCTTTTTCGTGTAACGCACAGGTAAAAATAGACATATTATGGAATAATAATAATAGTGTGCACAAGTTTTGAACCTTAGACCTCAAAGTTAAAATACAATAAATACATGTTCCTACCATTTCTTTATAAAACCTTTTAAATTTAATTAAAAAATTTTAATTTTTATTTCTAAACTAACTAGGTAAAAATAAAATATTGAGCTTCTAAAATTTGGGGCCCTGTGCAGTAGCCCAGGTTGCACAGCCCAAAATTCGGACCTGCTATTATTGAGCTTCCTTGTGCATCTCAGAAATTAGAAGTTGTCTTCACGGAGTACCATTCTTGTCCTTGTCCACATTTTTCATCTGATATGTATGTTAGGGATTTTAGATGTTAGGATTTAGGGATTTAGATTTTAATTACTCTCAAATGAGGCGTCAACCATCTCGGTTCGAACTAAAAATGCATGAAAAACAAAAGCAGTTTACAAAATACTGTGTGCACTTAGGATAACGAATGTGTGTGTGCACCAAAACTATATTGGTGTTAAAGACTATGTTGTGCACTTGCGTTAAACGGTGTGTGTCATAACGTAAATAATGAGTGCGTGGATGAAAAGACGTAAATCAAATTGGTGTGCACCTATGTTGAACTATGTGCACTTGGGTTGATAGATTAGGGTGTGCACTTGGGTTGACTGTTGTGTGCACTTAGGTTACACTGTGTGTGCCATAATTTGTAGAATTAGAAAGAAAACTAATATATGAAATATCATGTGTGCACTTGGGTTAATGAATGTGTGCGTGCACCAAAACTAGATTGGTGTTAAAGACTATGATGTGCACTTGGGTTAAATAGTGTGCGTCATAACGTTAATAATGAGTATGTGCAGTGGATGAAAAGACGCAAAACAAGTTGGTGTGCACTTGGGTTGATAGATTAGGGTGTACACTTGGATTGACTGTGTGCACTTAGGTTACACTGTGTGTGCCAAAATATGCAGAATTAGTTTGTGTAGGAAAAGATGTTAAACATTTTGGTGTGCACTTCGATTGTGCTGTGTGTGCACTTAGATAGAAATGTGTGTGCACTTGGGTCAACGAGTTTGAGCCATGATATTCAAGAAAACTGATATACGAAATACCATGTGCATTTAGGTTAACGAATGTGTGCATGCACCAAAACGAGATTGATGTTAAAGACTATGTTGTGCACCTAAGTTAAACTGTGTGTGCATAACGTAAATAATGAGTATGTGGATGAAAATATGTAAAACAAATTGGTATGCACTTGGGTTTATAGATTAGGATGTGCACTTGGGTTGACTGTGTGCACTTAGGTTACATTGTATGTGTCATAATTTGCATAATTAGTCTGTGTAGGAAAAGATGTTAAACATTTTGGTGTGCAATTGAATTGTGCTCTGAAGAGACTCTCAAAATGAGAAGATTACAATAAGATAAACCAAGACCCACCAACAAAGACAAATTAAAGAAGGAAACTAAATGAGAAACCTTATACTAAAAACACAAATGAAAGACAACACAGAGACCAACATAACCAACAATCTACTGCAACTACATCAATTAAGAAGGGGTACGAATCATTTCCTCATCATCATCAGGTGCGACAACTCGAACACTACTCCATCGGAACTGCTCACCATCACATTCTTCTCCTATGCAGCCTCCGACGACACCGTTTTCGTCATATGCTTATGTTTTCAGGCAATATGAAATGTTGCAGTGAAGGTGGGGATTCGAGAGTTCTTAAACGAATCTACATAATTTTGGCAAAGGCTGCGTAATGCATAAGGACTGTACTATGAAAGGGTTTACTGATAATAGAGCTTAGGAATTAGGAATTTAGGATACTATCAATCTCTAACTCTGTATAATTAAAATAATTAAATAAATAAATAATATATATATGCACTAAAATACCCTTAATACCCCCAACTACCTAAAATAAATAAAAATCAGCCCTAAATAATAGGTTTTAATCTAAACCATTGATCACCCTAAATAAATGACTATGATGAGTTCCTAGGTTCCTACCTAAAGATAGGTTCCTATATGATTGTTCATATATATAGGGTAGGGTTCCCGTGAGAACATGTACTTAGGTGAGAACATGAGAACACATCATGTGCATCCATCTAATATTTTTTAAAGGTATAGATTAGATTAAGTGTGTGCGAACGCGCATTAAATGTGCGCAAACACACTTAATCGCGTTTGCACACATTTAATGCGCGTTTGCACACACTTAATCTAATCTAGACCATTAAAAAATATTAGATGGATGCACACGATTTGTTCTCACATTCTCACCTAAGCCGATGTTCTCATATGATCTTAAATCTATATATATATATATATATATATATATATATATATATATATATATACACACAAACTAAATTGTTCATGAACTCTTAGCAAATGAGCCTACAAATGTTCAGATTCTCTTCATTTATAAATCAAGCTATAAAATTTGTTCATTTATGTTCGTTTAGCTAAATAAATGAACGCTTAAAAGTTCTATTTGCTAACACACACACACACACACACACACACACATATATATATATATATATATATATATATATATATATATATATATATATATATATATAATTTTATGTTTTACTACGTAGGAACTAAAATTCTAAGAGACTAATGTTACAAAGATCCTACGATCCTTTGTAGGTAATTAATCGATTTTATAGAGTGTGGGTACCCCGAGTTAGATTTGTCTTCATGACCATTCTTATGAAATTATTTTCTCAAAAGTATTAAATTCCATTTATTTTATTTTTATTTAAACAACAATAATTAAGTTTTTTGTACATAGAATAGTTGAAGATAGTCTTATCACCCTTGTTTCCTACTACAGCTATGAGGAGAATAAAATGAAGAAGAAGAAAAGTTAGCTTTTGCTTCTCAAAATGACCGAAAGTCCGCCGCAAAGTGCCAAATGACATCTTATACTAGGTAATAGAGAAAATTTCAATTTTGATCCACTGATTATTGGAGTTGTGTTAATTGTAACACTTGACTTTCAAAAATGTTAATTTAGTACCTTGACTATGTAATTTCTATCAATTTTGATCACGCCGATCAAATTACCGCCGAATTGTGACCGAAAAATATTAACAAGTAAAATAATGAAGGTATTTTAGTCATTTAACTACTTTTTTATTCTCCTCTGGTGAGTCCACCATGTTTTACGGCGAATGCTTGTGTTTTCCACCGCAATAAAACACTTGCAACCAACAAACTCTGCACAACAATAATAATAACAATACTTAGCGAAATTATTGAGAATTAATCAAAGCCAGAGCCAATCAAGAATGCACCGCCACCACCTCCAAGATTTTGTCTCTCCAATCCCTCTCCGCTCATGTCTGGCGATGCATAACCAGAGCTCGAAATTTTCCGGCGACCACAATCACGAACTGTTGGACGCGTTCTTCAACGGCCAGATCTGCCCGGTTTACCTGCTGTTCAACATAGATCTCTTACTGGGGCCGTCGATTTCGAGGGATTGAACGGAAGATTTAGAAGCGGGCCATGATGGCCGCCGACTGATGAACTATATCTGTGTTCAGTCGGAATCTATGAAGGTCGTCGGCTGATGAACTAGACAGTAGGGAGAAGCAGAAAACTCAAGCATTCGTCGAAAAACATGGTGGACTCACCGGAGGAGAAGAAAAGAGTGGTGAAATGACTAACATACCCTTATTATTTTACTTATTAATATTTTCCGGTCACAATTCGCTGGTAATTTGGCCGGCGTGACTAAAATTGATAGAAATTGCATAGTCAAGGTACAAAATTAACATTTTTGAAAGTCAA